AGTCACCCGGCCTGCGACTTTGTCCTAGTCCTGGGGAGCCCCAGAGTCCACAGAAGAGGGGCTGAGTGGCCCCTCTGGCTGCTCTGTCCCTGGCAGGACTACGAGGGCTCCCAGATGTTGCGAATCCTGGTGGAAAACCAAGGCCGACTCGCCTGTGGGCCTGACATCAACAAGGAGAGAAAAGGTGGGCCCAGACGAGATGCTTGAGATGTGCAGGACCAGATTCTCGCTGCTCTCACCCCGGGCGAGGGTGGCTGCGTCCAGGTTCACTGCTTGAAAGAAAGAGGACTCTTTGGGCCTGTGAGACCCCTGTGCATAGAAGCTTTGACAAAGTCCTGCTTTGATGGGAAAGGATGATGGTGGCCTTTCTCCAAGCCCTCCCACCCCGAGGGTGTTCTCCAATTACCAACCAGTGTGCTGCCTTTCCTGTTTCAGAGGGTTTTGAAGAAGGCTGCAGAAATGCCCTTGGAGAGTATGGTGGTCAGAGTCCCTCCCTAGGAACTTTGATTTTCCTTCTCTGGAACCCATGCCTGTGTCCTGGCCTCCCCCGGCTTCCCTCGGCCTCCCCCGGCCTTTCCCGGCCTCCTCCGGCCTCTCCGGGCCTCCCCTGGGCTGCCCTGTGTCACATGCACCTTCCTTCTCTCCCTCCATGTGTTTTGACCTGCCCCAGAGTTCAAGTTAGCTGAACCACTATGCTGGCCAGACCTGCAGGAAGTGCAGTGACTTCTGCTGTTAATGTGGGAGATACAGGCGCCACTCTGAGAGGTGTCTGTGAGCACCTGAGAAGGAAGAATGTTTGTAGGATTTTGCAGAGACGCCTGTCCTCCTCTGGGGGAGCCGCAGCCCGGTCACATCTCTGCTTCCTCGCCTTCCTCGTGGCCTCTGTCCTCTCTCTCTTCGGCAGGTTTAACTGGGGACATCTATCTGAACAAGTCTCCACTGAGAAAGTTTAAAATCTATAGCCTGGAGATGAAGCCCAAGTTCATACAAAGGTGGGCGCCAGGCCCCAGACTCAAGGAGACTGATCAGAGCGGGGGACACTGAGACAGAAAGGAGCCCGGATGCCCAGATGGACCCCCCTCGGTTTGCAGATAAGACACGGAGACCGAGAGCACGGGAGGCTCCCAGGTTTCAAGCTGTCTGGGCAGAGCGGGGACACCCCCACTCCCCAGCCCGGGTCTGCTACTTCCTCACCGTGCCACGGACCTTGAGCAGGCTGTGCTGGCGGGGACCCGGGCTGGGAGGGCAGGGAGGAGACAAACCTCGTTGTGAAGAAGGGCGTGAACTTTCCACTGGGCTGACTCTCCCTTAGGGACCTTCCGAACATCTGGAAACCAGCCTTATTCCAACCTCGGGGCCCGGCCTTCTTCCTCGGTCTCCTGAGGGTTGGTGATCATCCCAGAGACACCTTCATAAAGATGCAGGCCAGTATGCCTATCTCTGCCCGTGTCCCCACACAACCTTCCACCCCAAAAGGCCCTTTAGGAGAGCTCCTCGTGTGTGGGCTCTGCCCCGTGCAAGGAAACCTGGGCTCCCAGAGACCCCTCACCCCACAGCCGCCTGGGAGGCCGCCCCTGCCCTGGTGTTGACGAGGGTGGGGACGGACGCCCAGCAGATGTGACAGAGGTGCCTGCCCCTTGTTCTCTGGGGACACGGTGGAGTCCACTGCATGAGGAATTCAGTGAGCAGGGTCCACTGGTCTCCAGACATAGCTGAGACAAGCTACTGAGACCCTTAGCGCACTGCCTGTGGTGGGATGTGGTGGAAGAGAGTCTAATTGCCGCACCTGAAATCCTGCTACCCGACGGTAAACGTGCTGGTGGTAAATGGAAATACCTTCCCGGACTTGGGGTGCAAATGGGGCGGTACCTTCGGCCTGGAGGCTGAGCCCAGGCCAGGGGCAGTAGCGCCGAACTCCCCAGGCCGCCGACCACCGGGCTGCCCTTGGTGACCCCTCCCGTGTGAGAGCAGCTGTGACTGTGACCGGGTGTATTGTGGTGTCTGAGCGGGGGTGTGTGCACATCTAGCACTCAGAGCTGGAATCCTCTTTTCCAATCTTTCCCAGGACTGGACAAAAGGGGTCGTATTCATCAATGGACAGAACCTGGGGCGCTACTGGAATATAGGGCCCCAGGAAACCCTTTACCTTCCAGGACCCTGGCTGCAGCCTGGAGCGAATGAGGTGACCTTCCCCATCGCCCCTCCCACCTGCCAGTGCCCTCACTGGGGCTCCGCCTGGCCTCGGGGCAGACCCTGAGCTCACGGCCACCTCACTTCTTCCGACAGATCGTGGTGTTCGAGGAGTGGAAGTCTGCCCTTGTGATCCAGTTCACAGACAGCCCACAGCTAGGTAGGCTGTCCTGGAGGGACTGTAAGCATCCCAGACGCTGAAGCCTTTAGGGTCTTCCCGGTCAGGACAGAGACAAAGGAGGCAGCGTGTCCACCGCTCCTAGGTGGTGGCCGGCGTCCTCATACCCCTCCGTCGTGGGGACCCAGACTAGCCTGCCCTCCAGCATCTGGGACCAGCTCCTTTGGCCTCCTTCCCTCCCAGACTGCTCTCTGCACCCTGACCGAGGTGTACACCGAGGTCCCGGCACCCCCACTCCTGGCCTTTTCTGAAACTTTCCCACTTCCTCCCGCTGCCACGTCTGATCATCTCAGGGCACGTTTCCTGGGCCTCTCCCCGCTGCCGTGGGCAGAGGATGCAGGGCCCGGCCCCACCAGGCACATACGCTCTGCTTTGCCAGGTGGGCGCCTGGGGTCCCTGCACCCAGCCTCCCGCCCTCCTCTTGTCAGGAGCAGGATCCAGATGTGCTTCCGGGGAGTCACCGCACCTGTTTCGTTAGAGTCTCCGTGGGACTGGCAGTCAGGCCGCCTTTCCTCCCCGCCTGCAGCAGTTCCTCTCTCTGGGGATGGGCTTGGGGTGCACGGTCAGCAGTCTGCCTTTCTTTGCCAGGATACTGAGTCTTGAGGGAGCGGCGTGAAGGAGGAAGAGACTGAGCTGAGTCATCTTGACGGCGGGGCTGTGGGGCCCACCTGTGCTGACAGCTGCCAGTGGGAGCCACCCTGGATCCCCTGTTTATCGTGAGCCCTGTGCTGGGCCTGAGGTCCGCTTCCTAACCCGCCAGGACGGTCCTGCCTTGGCGTGAGTTAGCTCCCTGTTTCTGATGCTGCAACAAAATAAACCTGTTCCATGCAAACCCTTTGTCATATTGCAATAACAGGCTGTTTGACCAGGGAATAAAGTGTTGAGAAAGTGAGAAGATGCTCAGAGCGCTCGGCCCACAAGTGTGCTGTGGAGCAGGGGCTCTTCCTAGGGTGTCGAGTGAAGTGTAGGAGCTAAGTCAGGAAATGACAGGCAGTTCGTATGTGCTTCGTCTTCCTTTTGCCCTGCATTTCCATTCCACCACTGCTTTTCCACACGCTGGCGGAAACCCTGCTTTCCCCGTCGGTGCCTCTCCGTGTGGCCACTCCCCACTCCCAGTCCCGCCGCTGGCACCTGACCCGCAGCTCTGGTCTGTGTGCCCCGGGTCCTCGGAGCCGCAGCCTGGTCAAGTCAGCCCAGAGCTCACTTTTCCTACCGCTGGAGTTCCAGCTTGGTGTAGACAGCCCTGGGGTCAGCCAACTGGCCTCGGGGAGCTGGGGAGAGGGTCGCCACGGAGGTGAGCTGGCACTGGTGGAGGCCGCCAAGACCAGAGAGGCCCGCTCCACCCATCACTGCTTCTCTCAGGCGAAGCCCGACCAGGAGACTCCAGAGCCAAGCAGGGTCAGGCGTGTCCCATGTCCCCGCCTGTCAGCTCACGTGCGTCAGCCTGCGTGTGCATGGCGGCCACCTGGGGGGCCTCGAACCACGGACGGCTGGGCCCCATCCCCAGAAGTCATGGCTCGGTAGGTCTAGGGAGGGGCTGAGGCCTCACATTCCTGCAGGCTCCTAGGCGATGCCTGCTTGGCTGGTCTGAGGAGCTCGCTTTGCGGGTCTTGGTCCTGGTGCAGGAGCTCAGCCACAGCACGACTCCTCTCTGGGCCACATAACTCTGGGTGGGGCCCCCGTGCTTCGCCGCATGTTGAGCAGCACCCTCGGTCTCTCCTCACTAGAGGCCACTGGCACAGACCTCCCTACCCTGGTTGTGAAGCCAGAAATGTTCCCGGACCCCGGTGGACCTCCTCTGGGGGTCAGAATCCCTGCAGGTGAGAGCCTGGGCTGCAGAGCACACCAGGTTCTCCCGGTCAGAACTGCTGCTTTCCTGCCCCTTCGGGAGGCACGGTCCACCCTCTGTAAATAAAAGGCAGCGGTGACAGAACTGGGGAAATCCTTCCGGACGACTGTCGGTGGTTCTGTTTTTCTTCAGTGTAATCCTAGCTCCGAGTGACGGAAACTGCCTGTTACTTCTGTTTTTCTGTCTGCACTGCTTTTAAAACAGCCTAATATCCCCACACGTAAATGGATCCCTGGGGTAAGTTGGGGTGAAAGTCACCAGCGCTGTTCCCTTTACACCTGCAAGCAAGCAGACGCGGCGGCTGCAGGGGGGCTGCTGGTGCCGGGCCTCGGTCCCCGACGTGATCCCGCAGAGCCCCGGGGAGAGGAGGCGCCGGGCCAGACGCGAGCCCTCAGCGCGTCCTCCTTCTGCTGCTGGAGGAGCCTTGGGCGTGGCTCAGCGTTTCCTCCCGGTAACCGACGAGTGCCTCAGGCAGCGTGTCGGGCTAATTATACACAAAGGATAGGAGCGACGACTTCTCCACCCACGAGGGCTGGAGTAGGAATAGTTGTCCCTCGACTTGTGTCTTTAGGGTTTACCACTGTGTGAGGCTTGGAGGTGACGCTGAGAGAAGCAGAATTCAGTCGCATTGAGCATTTCCACCTGGGGTCTGCCAGAAATCCGAGCAGGAGGGCGGGGTGTTTGTTGTATCAAAAGTGGATTTTGTTTCTGTTTTTCCAGAAGCAGGCTGAAGAAGTTGGGGGCTGACAGAATTCTGTGCTCTCCCCCTGGATCGTGTAGGGGTCCTTGTGCTGCAGGAAAGATTTCAGTCCACAAGCTCCCTGCCCTCCTGACCGCGGGAACCCAGACCCGTCTGGGAGAGTGCGAAATTTTGGAATCTGTGAGGAGCGTAACTGGTTTCTAGAAGCCCTTCCTCTTTCTCCTTTTTTTTGGGGGGGTGGGGGGCAACCTAAATTTATACAGAAAGTGTGATTCGTTTGTGATGCACGCATGGAAGGAGAGAAGGGTAATCAGCTCAGGGCTGGGAAGGTCCTCGTGTTTGTCACCCTCCGGGGACTTGCGGTCCTTCAGACGACACCCCCTGGAGGGCCACCCCAACAGCCATTCCAGACCCTCCCCTCCACCTGAAGTCCAGCCAGTGGCAACTTGCCGTTCCAGACCTGCCCACCAACGGGCACTGACCGGCCAGGAGAAGCTGAGGGGCAGCCCCCGGTTCTCAAGAGACCACGACGCAGACCCGAGAGAGAAGCCTGCGTTCTGGAGACGGGTGGTGCGGACATCACCTCCCCATCCGAGCACTGTCCTCCGAAAGCATTTTGGCAGCTGTTACCCAGGGACAAGGGGACGGACCCTCCGAGGCTGCGCAGCCAAGACCAGAAGGAAGGCTCCTCGGGGCCACGGGACAGGCTGCTGTGCCTCTGAGCTCAGTCACAGGCCGGTACCAAGGGCCCCTCTGTTAAAAGCAGGGCATGCCCTCTGCTTATTCTGTTCACAGAAACCCAGGGGAAGGAAATGGAGGCCAGGCCTGGTGGAAAGACGAGACTGTCACACAACAGGCTCAGTCCTGGAACAGAATCTGTGAGGACATCACTTCTGCTTTGGGGGCAGGAAGCAGGATCGACTGCTTTAGGCCATCGTGCTTCACGGCCGGAACCTAAAACCCTCCGGCCATCTGTGGACGACAGCTCGTTCGAGGGCGATCCTAGGGGAGGAGGCTGAGCCACCACTGTCCTGGGGACTGGCAGCCCTAATGGCTGCCCCGCCTCAGTCTCTCCCTGCGGCAAACGGCCAGGCCCCGGGGTCATGCTGACCCCTCCTCCCCTGGCCCCCCCGCAGCCCACCCCCAGCATGTCTCAGCCCTTTCATCCGCCTCGTTTCCCTGTGGACTGAGCCCACGCCCCTCCTGCTCTGACCCGGAGTCTTCCTTTTCTCCTCCCCACCCTTCACATGGCAGCGACAGGGGCCTTTTAGGAACCCAGCTCTGTTCAAGCCAGGCCCACGTTAAAACCTGTCAGTGGCTTTCTGTTGTATTCCAAGTACAGTCCCACAACGTCCTGGGCCCTGGGACTCTGCCTGGTTTGGATTCCACCTGACTGCCTAATGCATCACTGGGTTGAAGTCTTGCCTACGAGATTTGACACCTGAAAAGGCAGCCCAGTTCCCCAGGGGACCATCCCACAGAACGTGGTGGCCGTCTGCCCCAGTGCTGAGTGCCAGGCAGGGCTCCCGGCCACAGAGCACAGGCTGCGGCACCTGCACGCCGACCCGCAGACCAGCACCGAAGTCTTAACTGTGAGCGAGGGCTGGACTCCGAAGGCCTCTCTGTGGAAACACACAGTCACTGAGTCTATGCTGCACGTCGCGTGGCACGAGGCTGTGCACAAAACAACCCATGGATGGAGGAGGAAAGGTGTCGGGACTGACAAAGCCAATCAGCCAACCTGCACCTCTATTAACGCCATCGCCGGAAATGACTGGGATGCTCAGAACACTGTCTCCCAGCGCGCACGGGACCCACTGCCTCTCCAGTGACGACCTGAGTGGGGTGAGCTGGCCTGGCCGTCTGCAGTTATTTACGAATGGCGCACACCTCCCCGCCTGTGCTGGGCTGAGCTCCAAGGCACCCGGAGTTCAGGGGAGGGGAGCTATAGTAATCTGACGAGGAACAGAACATTCCTCTCCCTTTCTTTACAGCACAGTACCCACCTCTGCTTTCTTCCTGTTGTCTTGTCACCTCCGCAGACAGATGAATACTGATCACCGTGTACTTTCTGAACTTGCTTTGACCCCAGTAGATGGTCTGACAGAGCCAAGACACCAGGAAAGATCTGAACTCGTACGGTGACCTCCTTCGGCGGTCCCAGGGCCACCCTCTTCGGCCTGCAGAGGTCACTTGTAATGGCCGCAGAGTGACCGTGGGACTCCTTGCTTTGGAACAAGAAGGCAGATAGACTGGCCTGTCCCCAAGAGGGGTGATGGACCTCACCTGGGGGCACATGTGGCTGGAATGCAGAAGGCACGGGGCGGGGGTGGGGAGGCAAGGGGGAGTGAAAGGCGCTCTGGCCCAGGCCTGGCACGAGCAGCTCCACGCAGCCCCTGCCGCCATCCTGACTCAGGTCGAGAGCTCCTCGTGCTGCTGGCCATGCCCCCCCATCTGTTCCGGACCAGATGCCTCACCCCAGAGGAGCGGCATGCCTGTGCTGGGTGCCAGTCAGAGCTGCTAGGGTAGTGGTTATGGCTCGTGATCCCCGAGGACCCGGCTGTGGACTGACGGGGGTGGCTCTGGGTGGCCCTTCATGCTCCAACCTGCCCGCTTGTCTACTAGCTGAGTGGAGACTGGATGGGTGAGCTTGCGTTAGTCAGTATCAGCTGCGTCCTTCCTTCCTGAGGAGGTCACTTCTTCAACCAGGGAACCTCCACTGTTAACACAGACACGAAGCTGCTCCCGCCCTCCAGCCCTGTAAACACCAGGGCACTAGAGCGTGGGGCCGGCACCCTGACCCCCCGGCTTAAGCACTGGGGTAGGGGGACCCTGGGGGGGCTGCGTGAGTTCTACCCCCTTGCTGCTTGTAAGTCTGTTCCCAGTGACACCTGCTGTGTACCTGCCCCATGTGGCCCCCGTGGTGTTTGCTGGGGGCCCTTTGTGTGGCACTCCCCGATACCCACCCTTCCACTCCTCCTGGTGTAGGAAGCTAGGTTTCGTTGTGGAATCTACACTTTAGGAAGGATAACCCGACCTGTTACGTGGAGCACGACTCTGCTTTATCTGGGCCGATCATGGTGATGTTCTGTTTGTCAGGGACTGGTTTGGAGGAGGCTGTGGTCCTGCTCTGAACTAGGGGACACAAGGGACATCTCACCCTCAAAAGAGACATGAGAACAGACGTGGATGCTGGTGTCGCCAACTCTGGAACCGCTGTGGCCCCGCCGTGCCGAGAGGGGGCTGCAGGAGAGGAGTCTGCTCCCCAAGGGCAGCAGGGAGA